TCTCTACTGTCTGAATCAATGCTTTGATGTTTAAAATGAACTTTAATATTGGGTTTTTGAATTGGTAACCCACCTTGGGACCTCATGGTGAATGGCTGGTAAGAAATCTGTTAGTATTAACAGTTCCTACCTCCTACTCAGGGACGCGGGTGGCGCTGTGGGTTAAACCACAGAGCCTAGGGCTTGCCGATCAGAAGGTCGGCAGTTCGAATCCCCGCGACGGGGTGAGCTCGTTGCTCGGTCCCTGCTCCTGCCAACCTAGCAGTTCAAAAGCACATCCAAGTGCTAGTAGATAAACAGGTACCGCTTCAGCGGGAAAGTAAACGGCGTTTCCGTGCACTGCTCTGGTTCGCCAGAAGCAGCTTAGTCATGCTGGCCACATGACCTGGAAGCTGTCAGCAGACAAACGCCAGCTCCCTCGGCCAATAAAGCGAGATGAGCGCGCAACCCCAGAGTCGGCCACGACTGGACCCTTTACCTTTACCTCCTACTCTCATAAGAAGAGCCTGCTGGATCAGGCCAATGGCCCATCAGAGTCCACCATTTTGTTTTCACAGTGGCCAACCAGATGCCTATGGGAGGCCCATAAGCAGGACCTGAGCCTAAGAACACAAATTCTAGTGTTATGAGGCAGGGAGGTATGCAGACTTGTGAAGGTGGGGCAGCGTTCATCTCTGGAGGCCTGGGGTGTGAAAGGTTCTATTTTGGACATGAGAGAGAGAGAGGAGAAAGGAGAGGAAGTGTGCTTCCTGTTTGTCCGATATTGGTGTCGTGACCAAAGTTGCACCTAACTGCAGCAGGGCCCATGTGTTACGAATGCCCTTAATTCTTCATGCATCCGTTTTTTAGCTCTGCATTTTAAAAATTAGAAATCGTAACACGAAGGTAGAAATGATTAAATTTTAAAATTATTTTTGAGACATGCTCAATCTTCCAACAGCTGCCTTAATCAGGGTGTGTGTGTTATTGGGTCGTCGTTTCTATTTTGATCATATATATATATATGTGTGTGTGTGTGTGTGTGTGTGTGTGTATACTGTATATATATATATGCTTTCGTAGATTTTCACGGGTACAGGAATGCAGGTTTTGGTGTCCTCGGGTGTCTTCCCGTGTAAAAGTTGGGGTGTCTAGGCGACGTTTCGACGAGGTCTCACTCGTCATCTTCAGGCTGGTGCTTTCGGCTTCTTGTTACTGGAACAGAGCAGGATCTCAGTGTTTGAGTTCCTATAAATACTGTTGAGGAGGTGTGGTGTATAGCCTCCAATGTTCTGGGCAGAGAGGAAGTTCCCAGGCTAGTGTGCCTTTCTTCTTTTGTTCCTTAATTACTTGAGGGATATCTTGAGTGATTTCTTGAGTGATATCCTGAGTACCACTTAGGTGGGTCATTAGGTGTGGATTAGTTGCTAAAGCCTTCGTGTCTTGACCTCTTGAACTTTGTGAAGAGTTTTTCTGAGAAGATGGCTGTACTGCACTTAGTTGTGCTCTGGCTTGGCTTCGTGTATAGGGGCGAGCTGTGGTTTTGTGGCCTGTGCCAGCCAGATCTGTGTAGGGGTTGCAGGGGGGTGCAGCATCCGGAGGTGCCACCATGGTTTGGCTACTGGATGGTGTCTGTAATTTATCTGTGGAGAGGGTCTGGGTTTGGGTCTGGTGTGGTTGATTGGTGATGGCGTTCTGTGTGCCTCTGGATCTGGTGTCGGTTTTTGTGGGGAGGGCTAATTTCCAGATGTCTGGCAGGCGGGATGTGTCGTCACGCTTGTTCATGTTGTGAGGGTGTTTCTCTATCTCGATGGCTTCCATGATTATTCTCTTGTGGTGATGTTCCATGTTAAAGAGCAATTTGGAATCTGCAAAATTAATTTCGTGTCCTGTTTCTTTCATGTGTTGGAAAAGAGAGGAAGTTTTTTCTTCTTTTTTGACGGCATTCTTGTGTTCTGCGATACGTGCATTTATTCGTCTGTTTGTTTGTCCAATGTACGTGGCTGGGCAGACTTTGCAGGGTATTTCTTCATGTAAGCATGAAAAGTGTGGTGTAAACAATGTAAAAATTCCCCCTCCTATCCTTACAGTGATAAAAGGGGTATTAAATCATTCATTTAAAACCTTTCAGCTCCTGCTACCCAAAGAGTTAAACTCATCTCTTTACCTACAAGCAAAAACTGGACTTTTGGTCCACAAGATATAGAGGAGTTAATCTTCATGTTAAGCGACTGCCCTGGAGTGATGTGCAGGCCTTCCAGAGTAAGACAGATGTTCGCTTCTCGAGCATGTAGAAAGTCTGTAAGTATTAATCTGTTGGAGATTTCATCTTTATTTCTTGCTTTTCTATTAAAATAACGCTCAAAGCTGCTTACTGGATAATGGGACATAGGAGGGAACTTCCTTTTTTAAGATTAAGGAAGTAAAGTATGTCAACCAAAACTAGATAATGGTAGTACTAACCCTTATGAGACTTTTAACATTTTATTTTTCATCTACAGGTGATGGTTGGAACAGCGCTTAATGCAAATGAGATGAAGAAACTCGTCACCCACATGGGTGAGATTGAGCACCCTTGGAATTGCCCACACGGAAGACCTACCATAAGGCATATAGCCAATCTAGATCTGATTTCACAAGAATAACGAACCTTTATGCACGTTCATTAGGACATTTTTAGCATTTATTCCATTGGCAGATGCTATTGAGACCTCTTTTATAGGATTGTGATTTATCACAAAAGTCTCTTTCTCTCTCTGCAGCACAAAAGATCAAGCTTAGCATTTTGTTCAAGAAATAAACTACTAGCTGGGCAAAGTGACTATGCTGATGCAACTAAGTGTGTGTAACTGAGGTTATAGCTGCTCATCCCTTGCATCTCCCACAATGCACCAAACCCCATGATCCTTGGATCTCTGCAAATGCTTTATCACGACGCTGGCATAGATCCACGGTGTCTCCCCTTATCCCTGCGCAGGTGAACTGTCATTAAGTCCTTTTACTACCCTTTTAGAACAAAAAAGGCCGGAAGATCAAGCCAGCACCTGTTTCTATGGATTAAGGCTTGGTTTGAGTTATGTTGCTGCCTTTGGTCTACATCAAACTACGTGAGAGGCAGGGAGAAATTATGTTTCTCCCTTTAGGGTTTTCCCCCCATTGCAGTTCCTTTTCACCTGCTCTGTAAGTGAACAAAAAGCAAAGGAGCATTTTGGGAGACTGAGATACTTTGTCCTATGCACCAGACAGTTGTCTCAAAATTATGGGACGGTAGGAGGCAATTTGTGGTGTTTCCCTTGGTGGTTATCCAGAGTAGTTCAACGCCTAATAATCTTGAGAACCCAAGAAACTGTATTTTCTGCCCACTGGGTTGGGCAGCTCTGCCCTGGTTGGTTAATCTATTACGGAATGATCTGCTGGTCATTTATATTAGTGTAGCTTCACTGCTAAAAACAGTTTCCTTTTATTAAATAACTTGTACATAGAAAGGATTTGTGTACATACATTCTTACTACAGATGGCCTTTTGTTTTTATAGCAGATATATATTTAAAATATTTTTTTAAAAAACACAAATGAACATTCTCCAGCTTTCTCATTAAATGATTTTCTTAAAGAATTCGTTGTGGTGTGTATTCAGTACCTTCATTTACCTCCCTCTTTCAGTAAGCCTTTCAAGGGGAGTCTGCATTTGTTGGGAGTTAATTTTAGATGTTCTAATTGTTTTATTGCCTGAGTGTTTGCCGCCTTTAGCTTCTTTGGGGTGGGATATAAGTTTAATAAAAAAAAGTATATGTGCAAATGGTTGAGCTTAATTGAAATGCCAAAAGGAGGCTAGGGTAGCTAAATCTCAATTTATGAAGCAAGTAAGGAGCCTCACCGCGGCATTCTGCCCCGCTGGAGCTTCTGGGTCAGCTTCAAGGGCAGCCCCGCGTAGAGCGAGTTACAATAATCAAGCCTGAAGGTGACCGTCGCATGGATCACTGTGGCCAGATCAGGGCGAGAAAGGTAAGGGACCAACTGCTTAATATGGCAGATATGCAAAAATGCCACCTTTGCTGTGTCTGCAACCTGCGCCTCTGGTGAGAGAACCCCAGCAGAGATTTAAAATCACAAAAATATGCAGCAAAGTAAAGCATGTTGTTTTAAAAGCTGTTAGACCTTTAAAAGATGTGCCCCTTAAAGTGAGTTCCAAAGTTTCCCTCTTCACCTAGCGTAGAAAAAGATCACACATTTGGCAAGTTAAAAATGCTTTACTTACAAACTCTCCAAAAGTCAGATTCATGTGCTTTTCCATACAGCATTCAGAAAAAGATGAACAGGCAGCAAAACTTAGTGGTGAAAGTTCCTAAATTATTGGTATAGGAACTCAAGTGTACCTTGTGAGAGCCATGCGGTCTGAGCTTGGAGCAACCAGGTCAGACCTTATGCACTGAGCTCAGGTTGACTGGAGGAACAACAATAAGCTTTATTATCCATTTCCTCCCAAGGAAATGGAAGTGGGCATAGCTATGCTGAGCAGGACAGCTTACTCTCTGGTATTAACGCCTTCATGCATTTAAGTAGACTTAAGCATGTTGTCTGTATGAGGCTGGTTATCTTACAGTTTAGAAATTTAATAAACAACAACAACAACAACAATAATAATAATAATAGTCCATTAGGGCAACTGGGGGACCTGCCCCACCAACCTCAGCCTGCCCTCACAACCCCCATCTGCCTGATTTATTACAACCAAGCAGGGTGACATTGCCTAGCAACTTCTTCCTTCATCTCAGGCCCCAGTAACATTTTATATTTAAAGCTTTAAACAGTGATGGCTTCCCCCAAAGGTTCTTGGGAGATGTGGTTTGTTACGGGTTCTAAAGGTTGTTAAGAGGCCCCCTATTTCCCTCCCAGAGCAACAATTCTCAGAGTGGATTTAACAGTCATTCGTGCTTCACAGGAAACTCTGAGACTTGTAACTCTGTGAGGGGAATGGTGCATCTTCTAAGGACTCTCTGAACCCTTAACAAACTACATCTCCCAGAATCCTTTGCAGGGTGAAGCCACGACTGTTTAAAGTGGTATCATAGCGCTTTAAATGTGTGGTGTGGATGTGGCCTTTAACAGAATTGAGCCGAGAGGAAAATGGGGACAAAGCTGGGGCACAACCAATAATTGGCTTTCCCTCCACCCACTGTTGGTTTCTCTTCCTTCTGCCCCATCAGTGCCCGTTTGGGCACCCCCACCACTGGCATAGAGCTTTTTTGTTGTTGTTAAGGAGGCTGTGGCAATAGGCTAATAGGTGACGGTCCCTTTAAGAGGAATAAATACTCTCCTCTTCCCCCTCCCGCCCTGAGAGTGGTTACTATGGTAACTGTCCGGGATTAAGACGCTGCAACCGCTGCTGCTGTTGTTGCTACTTAAATCTCTCTGCAGAGAGTATCTGCTGGAGGTTGGAGGCTAGAAATTCCCTGTCCTTTTGCTTGTGTGAGTAAGCGATGGACACCAACAGCCCCATCCAAGTCTGAGGGAGGTACTTTTGAGCAGCCCCAGCCTGAAGAATTTTTGCGTCTTCCAAATATGTGGACTGCAATTCATTTTTTAAATAAAATCCTTTTTTAAGATAGCTTTAAAAATGCCATTACTAAGGGACTAGATCCATCGTGCTTCCAGAAGGGGACTTGATGTTGGAGAAGGTTTGTTCAGTTGCCGTAAACGGGTCACAAGCACAACAGAGGGGTGTGTGTGTGTGTGTTTAAACTGGATTTTCCCAGGAAAGATAAATCTGAAGGGAGTGGGATATGAACTGGCTATTTTGCCTGTGGCTGCTGCAATTAATAATAATAATAATAATAATAATAATAATAATAATAATAATAATAATATCATGAGGAGCACTGTTCACACAATAAGCTCTCATCTCCAGGCACCTCTATATGGTCAACTGTGTTCTATGCTGCCAAAAAAGCCACAGAGTAACAATTGGGGGGACAGGACACAAAAACACCTGTGTTGTGGCATGAGTGAACGCAACTGGAGAGGTTTCGACTCCTTTCCAAACAGCCATTTCCCTATTAAACAGAAGCCTGCTTAAGCACATTGCATATGTGTTCATTTTTATTTTTCCCACTAAAATGAACACACTTTTATGTTCATTACTTAAGTATGAAATTGACTTATGCAAAATTAAAAGGGCAGGAGCCTTGTCTGGTTTGGCAAAAAAACAATGATTTTTGCCTCCTTTCCTGAATTCCAGTAGCAATCCTATGTGAAGAATGTTATTTATGACTTCAGTTATTGTCTGAATTAAAACAAGGAAATCCTATAGGAAGTGGCTGACAGGCCCTCTATTCTTAGAGCTCTGTTTCCCCCTCCCTTAATTCTTTTTATTGCCCTTGATACCTCTTCTGATAACCCTCTTCCCATGTAAATGCCACCATGTAGAGTGGTAGGGACAGCTGGTTAATAGCCTCTGTCTCTTGACTTACACTATTGTTTTAAGATTAGTGTGTTAAGCTCTTGTTTCCTAGTGCAGTGATGCTCCATCCCATGATAAGGCAATGCTTCCCTTGGTGTTGACCAGGCATAGGCAAACTCGGCCCTCCAGATGTTTTGAAACTATAATTCCCACCATCCCTGACCACTGGTCCTATTAGCTAGGGATGATGGGAGTTGTAGTCCCAAAACATCTGGAGGGTCGATTTTGCCTATGCCTGGTGTTGGCTGATGGCAAGCTGTGCTTCAACTCCCTTGTTCACCAGGTGCTTAAGAGTGTGATTGTTTTGCTGGACTCAGGTAGAGGAAGGTGTCATCAGGCATGTTTATCAACAGAATATATATATATATATATATATATATATATATATATATATATATCCCCTCTCTCCCTTTACAGGATCTGTAAAGTTTGAAAAGTGAAGGAGGCAAGATATCTAGGGAGTCCTGATTTTGGTACAATTCAGCTGTGATGGGTAAAGAAAAGAAGAGAGACAGTAAGAAAGGAGAAAAGTCTTTGCCTCCTCCTTCCGCACACGAGCCCTCAGTAGAACCTGCTACTTCTGTACAGAACATCCCACCGGCTGTAAATCAAGTGGATGAACAGGCAGCAGCCCAAACAGTTCCCCAAGAAGAGGTGAAAGAAGCAGTGGCCCTTCCACCCACAGAACCCATTGAGTATGAGGAGCCGATTCTGACTCAGCTCATCGTTGAAAGGTAAACTAGAAGGACGGGGGTAGGGGGTGGAGGACTTAGACTATGTATGTGTGGCTGGTAAAGGTAAAGGGACCCCTGACCATTAGGTCCAGTTACGGACGACTCTGTGGTTGCGGCGCTCATCTCGCTTTATTGGCCAAAGGAGCCGGTGTACAGCTTCCGGGTCATGTGGCCAGCATGACTAAATCGCTTCTGGCAAACCAGAGCAGTGCATGGAAACGCCGTTTACCTTCCCGCTGGATCGGTACCTATTTATCTACTCGCAGTTCGTGCTTTCGAACTGCTAGGTTGGCAGGAGCAGGGACCGAGCAACGGGAGCTCACCCCGTCGCAGGGATTTGAACCACCGACCTTCTAATCAGCAAGCCCTAGGCTCTGTGGTTTAACCCACAGTGCCACCCGTGTGCCTGTGTGGCTGGTACCTAAGGTTAATAACAGGCTTAAATTTATCAAGTTCATGGCAAAGGCATACATTTAAAGAACTCTCATACTACTTTAATAGCTCCTTCAAAGCATCCTGGGAAATATAGCTCTATGAGGGGTGTCCTAACAACACTTTGCACCCTTAGCAAACTACATTTCCCAGGATTCTTTGTGGGGGTATGACTGTTAAAGTAGTACTTTGTACTTTATACTACTGTTAAAGTAGTATAAAGATGGTTTACATGGCATTGAAGATGCGATCTTGCAGAAATAGAAAAAGAAATAGAAAAAGAAATATGAAATAATGTTAAAGGTGCGTGAAAGAAAGTAATAGAAGTAGAAAGAAATTGCAATTGAGTAGATTGGAAGTCTAACACAAAGGGTGAGGGGTGGTGGATGGTGATGGGAATTATCTGTGGGATTGAGTGTAGGTATGTTGTAGATATGTTGTAGGTATGTAGGTATGTTGTATGAAATGTATGTTTGTATGTGTATTGATGTTGAATTATTTTAACAATAAAATTTTTTAAAAAAAGAAGAAGATGCGATCTTGCAATTTACTAGCTAATTAGAGGCTGTGTCCTCTTCTTTCTGGCAGTGTAAACAGAGCAAGGTAATTATAATATAATAATTATATGTATTTTGAGTTTATTTGCTAATATATCTCCTACTTTAGGGTTGCCATATTTCAAAAAGTAAAAAACCAGGACACCACATTTCAGAAATTCCCCCTGGACATCAATTCTGCCTTTGAAATCCCGGATGCATGCCAGACCTACCCTCTTTAATCCAAGGGCTCAGGGCAATTTGTAAATTTCAGACAAATATAAAAAGATCGTGCCTACTTCAAAGTTGGGAGTCATTTAATTAGATGACTCTGTGCTGGTTTCTGAGTGAGAGTTGTTGTATCTTTTGCTTACCTTAATGCCCTAAGGCAATATTTTTCATCCCTGCATCTGCTGGGGGTTCCATTCCATTTTGCAACCTTACACCTCCAAGACTTCAGTGATGTTAGAATGAATAATTAGTACCAAGTTTTATATTTGAATCTGTAAATGTTAAAATAAATTACTCGTTCTCTGTTTTTGCTCCGTTTTTTCCCCTTTATTGGGGAAGCAGGGAGAGTGGGCTGGCCTTCTGCCGAATACCACAACTTGTTGCCGAAGTTTCTCAACCCTCAAAGAGTATAAAAAACCCACTGTTTAAAGGGGTCGTGTGTGTGTGTGTGTGTGTGTGTGTGTATAAGTAACTGCATTTAGGTAAAGACTTTACTAGTTACACCTTCTCCACCACTCATATACCCTGGTGAGAAAATTTGTTTTACAATTTGATATAGATTAATGCTTCTATTTCATGCTTGAAATTATTTTGTCTGCTCATTATATGGATTTATTCAATACCAGTTAATTTTAATCTTAAGTATTCCCCACCCCCTTGTAGCTACGAAGGAGAAAAAATCTGTGGGTTATATGAGGGAGAAGGAACAGCTCGTTTTCAAGGAGGCAATGTATACAAGGTGAGTACATCTGATGGTGGGCTCTGTATGTAATATTTTTTGGGGGGAGGGTGACCCGAACCTGTGAGCTAGGCTCAGATTATTGCTTTTACTACTCCGTGGCTGTAGTGGTGTAATTACCAAGAAACTGCTAGTGTTAGACTCTAGATTTAAGTTGCTCCTCAGGCAGCAAATGTGAGTTAAGGTCATGTCCACACCATACCTTTAAAGAACTCTTATGCTATTTTAACACTCACATCTTCCTCCAAAGAATCCTGGGAACTCTAGTTTGTTAAGAGTCTCCAAACAATTCCCAGCACTAACAAACTACAGTTCCCAGGATTCTTTGTAGGAAGACATGAGTGTTAAAATAGTATTTCTATACTGCCCTTCATCTGAGGATCTCAGAGCTGTTTACAATATAATACAATCTCTCTCCAGGGTTTCAGACAGGACTGTTTCTCAGCCCCCACCCCACCCCCCAGAAATTCTCTTTCAGGTGTTTAGATATCCCTATTTTCCTACTGTTTTTTTGTTTGGAAGTTGACAAAACACAGCTATATAAATCATCACAAACTGCTATAGTTCTTAGCTAAATCTTTTAAGCTTTTACGGTCCTTTATTTCTCTGGATACGTATTTTAAGTACACTTAATTAGTATATTAAAAAGCATCTTTAAAAGCATCTTAAAAAGCAGAGACATCACCTTGCCAACAAAGGTCCGTATAGTTAAAGCTATGGTTTTCCCAGTAGTGATGTATAGAAGTGAGAGCTGGACCATAAAGAAGGCCGAAGAATTGATGCTTTTGAATTATGGTGCTGGAGGAGACTCTTGAGAGTCCCATGGACTGCAAGAAGATCAAACCTCTCCATTCTGAAGGAAATCAACCCTGAGTGATCACTGGAAGGACAGATCCTGAAGCTGAGGCTCCAATACTTTGGCAACCTCGTGAGAAGAGAAGACTCCCTAGAAAAGACCCTGATGTTGGGAAAGATTGAGGACACAAGGAGAAGGGGATGACAGAGGACGAGATGGTTGGACAGTGTTCTCGAAGCTACCAGCATGAGTTTGACCAAACTGCGGGAGGTAGTGGAAGACAGGAGTGCCTGGCGTGCTCTGGTCCATGGGGTCACGAAGAGTCGGACACGACTAAACGGCTAAACAACAACAATTAGTATATTGATTGTTAACCCCAGATTGATTGTTTTTATTGTTTATGTAGAGAATTATGCAGCAATTCTGGTTTAAATATGCTGGCCGTTGGCTGTAATAAACACTGATTGATTGATTGATTGAAATCTGTGTTTCATTTTGAAGGGCATGTTTTCTGAAGGCCTCATGCATGGACAAGGAACATACACATGGGCTGATGGAGTGAAGTATGAGGTAAAGTGTCATGTTAAATGGAGCATCATTGCAACTACCTTGACGGCCCTTAACTTGCAAGTACATATCTTAGACTCTTGGCCAAAGGATATTTTCCATATGTGTATATTAAATCTTATGTCTCTGCTTGTTTGTAGTGATAAACTGAGAACCTGGGCTTAATAAACCATACTTTTCAATATTTTTATGAAAAGGTATAATGCATAAATTTCCAGGTAAAACAAGAGATCACTTGTTCTAGCTGTGAATCTCTTTTGTCCCTCCCCTCACCCCTCTCTCTAGGGAAACTTTGTGAAGAACCTACAAATGCATCATGGCAGTTACACCTGGCCAGATGGCAGCATCTATGACGGAGAGGTAAAGAGCGGGATCAGGCATGGCTTTGGCATGTACAAGTGTGGCACCTACCCTGTTTCGTACATTGGCCAGTGGGTCGAAGGCAAAAGGCATGGCAAGGTAAGTAAAGCACCATGGCTGAAGCATCACCTGGATTGCTGGGGGAATCTGGGGCAGGAAGATCTTGCCTGTCCTGTGCTCAGAGCTGCTACCAAGTCTAGACACAGATTTAAGATTTGCTGAGTTGCCTGAAAGGGGAGAGACTCCATCAGGCAAGGCCTCCTTCCACCTGCCTTGTTCCACCCTCTAGTCTCTGCTTCTCAATTTGTATTGCATTATTTTATGTACCGTGTCTTGCCGTTGTTTTATTGATTATAGTTTAGAAATCATTTATTATAACTGCTGAGTGGATTTCTGTTTAACTTTTATATGTTAGTATTATTATTTAAAACTATTCTAGTGATTGTTGAATGCTACTTTTTTGATATAGGTTACCTATTTTAAACTAATGTTTTATTATCATATTTTTATATTGCATTAGATTGTTATAAGATGTACATTTTTTTATTTCTTCAGCTTGTAAACTGCCTTGAGTATTGTAAGATAGAAAGACGGTATACAAATTAAAAATGATGATGATGACAAGGTGACTGATAGCAGTCCTCCTTTCGCTCTTTGTGAGTTTTCTGATTGGTGTCATAGTTAAAAAGTTAAAAAGCAAACAAAACAGATCCAGACTTGAGGGGGCTCTCGGCCTCTTCTGGACCCCCTGTTAGGGAGACTTACCTTTTAATTATGGTAGGTAGCAGCAGCCAAGCTCCAATGAATGTGTGCCAGTTGCAAGGAAGCAAGATGGCATGGTTTCCATTCTGACCTGTGTTAGTCAAATGTAGCACAATCTCCATTCTGCTGCATGTTGTCTTTAGACAAAAAAACCAATGTTATTCTTCTTGCTGTCCATTGTGGCTGAATTTTACATAATTAATACGCTTCCACCCCCATTCCATTCATTTCAGTGCAAAGGAAATGCAAATACGGAAACGGTAATCAATTACATATTGTCCGTAGACAACAACAATGGTCAGTACTAATCATATTTGCAGGATTGATTTCCATTCCAACATGCTTCCTTCTAACACCATACCTCACAAGCTGGTTTTGAAATTGGGCAAATCTAACTGTTTTGGTTTCTCAGTTTTTCCCAGCCTTTGGTTCTCCATATTTCCACATTAGTTTTCAGTCCTCCTGAAAAATTATGACCATTTTAATGCTGTTTCCTCCTAACCTGCACTTTTTTGTATGCGTTTTTTTCCTGACATGCGTACAGTATAATGAGCTTTTGGGTGTCATTTTCATGGATTTATAATGCACACTTTACTTTAAAAGGTAAAGGTAAAGGTACCCCTGCCCATACGGGCCAGTCGTGTCCGACTCTAGGGTTGTGCGCCCATCTCACTTAAGAGGCCGGGGGCCAGCGCTGTCCGGAGACACTTCCGGGTCACGTGGCCAGCGTGATGAAGCTGCTCTGGCGAGCCAGCACCAGCACAGCACACGGGAACGCCGTTTACCTTCCCACTATAAAGCGGTCCCTATTTATCTACTTGCACCTGGAGGTGCTTTCGAACTGCTAGGTGGGCAGGAGCTGGGACCGAAAGACGGGAGCTCACCCCACCGCGGGGATTCGAACCGCCGACCATGCGATCGGCAAGCCCTAGGCACTCAGGTTTTACCCATGCAAATGTTTAGGCACTGTTTGATTAATGTGCTTGTATGATGTGCTTTCAGGGCACCATTTATTACAACAAGGAAGGTTCTTCCTGGTATGAAGGTGACTTCGTATTCAATGTAAAAAGTGGATGGGGAATAAGATGGTAAGTTTTAGAACCTTTCTGATTCAGCAGATCTTTGGACACATATCAGCAGGACACATATCTGCAGGAAACTCACATTTTCATTTATTACATGTGCATCAAGGAAGCCAAGGTACCCTCTGTTGGTTTTCCCCATTATGTCCTCATAACAGCCCTGTGAGGTAGGCTAAATGGAGAGATTGAGGACCAAACCACATATTATCATGATTGCATGTTCAAAACAATATACAGTGGTACCTCGGGTTACAGACGCTTCAGGTTACAGACTCCACTAACCCAGAAATAGTACCTCAGGTTAAGAACTTTGCTTCAGGATGAGAACAGAAATCATGCAGTAGTGGCGCGGCAGCAGTAGGAGGCCCCATTAGCTAAAGTGGTCTTCAGGTTAAGAACAGTTTCAGGTTAAGAATGGACCTCCAGAGTGAATTAAGTTCTTAACCAGAGGTACCACTGTATTTACGATGGGCCACACAATTATTTTAAACCAGCCATAGTGGCCCTTCCAACTGGATTTTGTTTGTTTGTTTAACGTAGAATGATGACCAGTCTTAAACAAACCACCAAGGCAACTTGTGATTTGGCCTAAGATTAGCCAAAAGCGAGCTTCATGCCTGAGCATAATTCATGGTTTCCTCATTCCAAGCTGAGCTTATCGGTCACTATCCCACAATTACATATTAGGTATCCTAAACGTGAATCAAGTTGAAATGCGCTATCTGTCAAATATGGTGTTATGCGTTTGGTTGGGTTATCTAAAATACTGTGGGTAGCCAAGGACTAATGAAAAAATATTACTGGAGACCTCTCTCCCACTTTTGGCATGTAAAACCCATCAGAGTTTGGGAAGGTGGCATCTTGGGAAGCTTTTCATTTTATATGCACATCTTTTTTTTAGAAATGCAAATACTGTAGCAGCTACTGGTTGAGGGAAGCAGTAATTATCGGGATTGAAGCACGTGAGGAGGGAGTACAGTGGTACCTCGGGTTACATACGCTTCAGGTTACATACGCTTCAGGTTACAGACTCCGCTAACCCAGAAATATTACCTCGGGTTAAGAACTTTGCTTCAGGATGAGAACAGAAATTGTGCAGCAGCGGCAACAGGAGGCCCCATTAGCTAAAGTGGTGCTTCAGGTTAAGAACAGTTTCAGGTTAAGAACGGACCTCCGGAACAAATTAAGTACTTAACCCGAGGTACCACTGTATTTAACCTTTTCTTCCTTGCTGCAATGAAAATTACTCCTCCAAGGTTGCTGTTCGCATTGGGAGCGAATCTAGTGACCTTCCAATAAACATGGAGGTTCCGTTCAGCTTTTATGGGTAATATACTTCTCCTCCACCGTAATTTTCCCTTTCCCTTTCCCCCTTTTAAAGCCATCTGCTAGTAGCTGCATCACATCTTGGGGAAATGACTTCACATCATCCAGAAATGACTTTATGAAATGTCAGTCTATTTTAAAACAATATTCGTTGAGATTGCCACTCTGCTTTCCTTGTGCTTTTGTTTCTCTCCTAGTTATAAATCTGGAAATATCTATGAAGGCCAGTGGGAGAGGGACATGCGTCATGGAGAAGGGCGGATGAGGTGGCTCACGACAAATCAGGAATATACCGGGCAGTGGGTTAATGGCATACAGGTAGGGCTGAACTGCTTGGATGTTAAAGTGGTACAGATTATTTTTTTGTGTGGAATTGTGGGAAGGAATGTGGAAATAACTAAATTAATGGTTCTTATTACCCTCAGTAGTACCGAGTTAAAAACCAAAGAGGAATGTAAATGGGTAAAATTGATGGTAATTGCAGCCAGACAGGTTATAGCGAGTAATTGGAAAAATGCAGAAGAGCTAGGGGTGAACCAATGGAGGAAAAAACTGAATAATATTATAAGTTTAGAATACCTAACTGTGAAGATACATAGAATGAAAGGGCTTAAGGTCAGTGAGAAAGAGGAGGATTGGTTTGAGAAGATATTGAATTATTTGGGTAGGTTTGACCAATCTGGGGCATTAAAATGTTAAAAGTTAAATAAACCTTACGGAGGGAAGAGTGTTAAGGTATATAGAAGTGTACATATGGTTGATTTGAATATGTTATTTTTGAAAATGTATATTATTGAATATGTATACCCAATGTATCAGCCGCCTGGGGGGGTTTCACTGTTTGTGTTTTGGTGGTTGGTAAAAAGTTAAATATTTTTTAAAGTGGTCCAGATAGGACTCAAATTAGATTAATTGTGTGACTTGGAGCCACATCAGGGTTTTGTTTTTAAATCCTCTCCATGGGAGGGCAATTTCCATTATCCTGCAGTGTGGAGGGGTAGGAGATCCATCTCTTTCTTCTGCACCCAATTACCTTCCGAATCAGCAATTGGGGATAGAAGTAAAGCTCTCATTAACATATTTGTGAAAGCTACTCGTTACACGGATGATCGCCATGACTAATAATTTTGCAAGGATCATAGGCTGTCAAAATAGGACTGCCTTGTTAAATTGCACCCCACTTTTAGACGGGTGACTCATGCATGGTCCATATATCAGGCTTTCCGAAACCTGGGTCTCCAGCTGTTTTTGGACTACAGTTCCCATCATCCCTGACCACTGGTTCTGCTAGCTGGAAATGATGGGAGTTGTAGTTCAAAAGCAGCTGGAGACCCTGGTTTGGGAAACCCTGGTCTATATGGAGAGCAGCCATAAGTGGAATTTTACAGAAACCAGGAATGCTCCTAACTGACACACTCTAAATCAGCATCTTGAGGTTCCTCATCTAGCTTCTACCATATTCTCTGGTTAAGTTGGGAATTCTTGGGAAGCTGGGACATCATTACTTCAACCAAAGGCTTTCTTGAAGCAATGTTGCAATGCAACAGATAATCTGTCCCACAATGCTATTTGGTGTTGTTCACCTAATTCTAGTGCACTCGCTGAGAGTTGGTTTTTTAAAAATCTTTTTCAGCACGGCTATGGTACCCACACTTGGTATCTGAAGAGAATACCCGGATCACAATACCCCCTAAGGAATGAATACGTGGGAGATTTCGTCAATGGGGACCGCCATGGACATGGGAAGTTCTTCTTTGCCAGTGGAGCAATGTATGATGGGCAGTGGGTTCACAATAAGAAGCAAGGCATGGTAAGATTTGGGGTATGGAGAGCTCAGAAACATGGCATGAAACCTCAGCCTCCTCACTGGAGCTGTAAAACAAGTGATGCTGTAGAATAAAGTGTTAATTAGAGCATTGGCAAAGCCTCTATATCTACCCATCAATAGCTAGTTCTCAGCATTTTGTTGCAATGCAGTGTGGCCCACAGAATCCTGCCTACAGTGATGCTAACTGGTGTGTAGTTGGCCTGTTTTTATCTCTGGCATTGGGGACATAAATTTCCCTTTTCCCCCCTTCAGGGTAAGCTTGTGTTCAAGAATGGCCGTGTCTATGAAGGCGAATTTATAGATGACCATATGGCAGAATATCCATCTTTTCAAATTGACATCATGAATAACCAAGATCTGAGCGGCATTCGGACGACGAGTCCCTTTGGCACTGGTGAGGAGCCTGAAGTGTGGCGGAAAGTAATTTGGGTGTGTAGCACCTTGGACCCTCCAAGAAGTTACTGAACTACAACTCCCCACAGCCCCAGTAAGCATGGCCAACGGCCATGAATGATGGGAGCGGCAATTCAGCAACATCTAGAAGACTAAAGGCCACTCACACCTGGACTAAAGTGAGGGCAGCTGGAGTTAAAATACATTTTTAAAATGTATTTTATGAGAGTGAATATATTTAGAAATCCACATTTTTGTGAGGATTTCAGTATCACATGTGTGGAGTAGAAGTATGGTGGACATCAGTGTCGTGTGGTGAATTTTTTCTTAGGGGGACAATTAGGAACAGAGGGGCCAGCTTATGAGGGCAATTACTGGGGGTGTTGCACCTCCCTCCCTAAGCCAGACAGAAGCTCCCCGGGCTTTGGGAAGGAGGTGCTAGGGGAACATTTAGGGGGCTGGCCTTGTCCCCCTAGTCCACTGACCACACACCACTGGTGAACACAGCCAACACAACGTCGACTCGAGAAAGGTTAATAGTGCAATCATTTTTATTTGATTTTTCAAATATAAATTTACAACAAAATCAATTACAAATCCATACAAAGAGGTTTCTCTGAATCGCAAGACCCCATCCCCTCCATGGGTCCTAATTTCAACACTTACAACTGCATATCAGTCCTTTCTCCACGTTTTTGTCCATCTCGTTTATCCATAGTATTTGTTACTTTACAAGTGAGATTAAAATCCTGCTCATGTTTCCATTTGCTTACAGTGGTGTCTTAAATAAATTGTAAATTTCCCCCCATTCTTTTTTAAAGTTCTTGTCCTCTTGGTTCCTGAGCTTCCCAGTTAGTTTTGCCATTTCAGCATAGTTCATCAACTTGGTTTGCCATTCTTCCCTGGTCGAGATTGTTTCTTCTTTCCATCTCTGGGCTAGTAACATCCGTACGGCTGTTGTCGCATACATAAATAGTATTTTCTGATCCTTTGGAATCTTGGTACCTATAATTCCTAATAAAAAAGATTCTGGTTTTCAAAGAAACATTATTTTAAACATTTCCCCCCCATTTCATTATATATCATCTCCCAAAAGGTTTTTATTACCTTACACAACCACCACATATGATAAAAGGTACATTCTTTTTCTTTACATTTCCAGCAGGTATTTGTACTTGCTCTATACATTTTTGAATAGCGCAGTCCTAACCATGCCTGCTCAGTCCTGTTGAATTCAATGGGGCTTGCTCCCAAGTAAATGAGGTTAAGATTGCATCCTGATTAATCCATCAGGTGTCCACCGGGGTCCTCAGGTCTGCTTGTGCCGATGTTGCTCTTTAAAATTTTGAAACAAATAATTACCAGTTTGATTTCTTTCCTCCCACCGCTTGCCCCGTTGCGAAGAGAGTATCAAAGTTGTTGATGGCCCAGATAGTACATCTGCACTGGGAACGAATATAGAAATAGATATATCAACTTTGTTGGCTATATTTCCAGAAGAAAACAGGGAAGAAGAAATCAAACAGGTAAAATGGCTTTACATTTAGGATTTATTTTTTTTAAATGATTTTTAATTTAAAGGAACTAAACATATCTGTACAAGAAAAATACAGCTTGGTAGTTGTACAGAAAAGAAAGAAAAATAGAGGCTGATGGTTGTAGTTTTTAGACCTACCCAAAAAGGCACTGAAATGAAAATGTCTCTCCATAAAGTTCCATGAGTTGATGGAGGGTGAAGACCATATTTGATTGCCTTAACAAAATCAATAATATGATACCAGGTTGTACAGAACAGGCATGTCCAACTAGTCGATCATGATCTACTGGTTGATTGTGGGATGTCCATGGTCGATCGTGTGATCCTTAGCGATCCCCGCCCCCCAAAAAGCTCAGCAACTTTGCCTGTCAATGACAATGGGTAGATCACAGGTGGCATTATTATACTGTGAGTAGATTGCAGTCTTTTGGGAATTGGACGTGCCTGGTATAGAAGGTGTGAGTCTTCCCTTCAAGCAGTGTTGGAAATGTAAACCTTCAATTTCTCTGTCAGTCCGTCCATCTCTTAATATCTGGGCAGGATTCACCCACCAGCCCTGTTGGTGGAAGTCCTACACAAGGACCTCTGCTTGTGCAATATGGCTTTCCCTTCACTCTCCCCCCCAACAATACCCACTAAAATTATCTCCTCATGGGGTCAGGAGATCCCCCAGAACAGCACACTGGAGTAGGAGATAATTTGGTCTGGCAGACTGAAATGTTTGAGCTGATGGAACATTCAATGTAGCACACCATTGAAATCCTCCTTTAGTCTTAATTATTGCTACTGATCATAGAGTTTTCAAGGTAGAATACAAAAGGGACAATAATAATAGTAAGATAATACACAGACACAATTAATGCATAGAAAAACACGTTCCCCAAAGAGCTTCATTAATAAGTCAGACTGGCAAATATTAATAAATATGAGGTATATAAATACAAAAATATTTTATTATACATATTTAGCTTATTTAATACGACAAAATACTTATACTTTTTTATTACTGGTTTTCTATCGAAAACTATATATATTTGTCTCCAGACAGAGTTTGCTGTACTGAGATATATCTCGGAACTGAGGCGAATCTACACCTTCTACAGCAGCTTAGGATATGACCATTCTCTTGATAACACTTTCCTGATGACGAAGCTTCAGTTCTGGCGATTTCTAAAGGACTGCAGATTCCACCACTGCAACCTTACGCTTGCCGACATGGATAGGATCCTGAATGGTTTGCATTCCTAATAGAATAGATTGCCCATGTTATTTTAGTAGTGGCAGAGCAGCAATCAGTAAGTGTGGGTAAATAGCCTATTTGCAACTTAATGAAGCCAACGCTTTGCATTGAAGTTGCAATGATTGGCCCAGTTCACATGTGCCACTAAATCATGGCGTGGCGGTAAATGGAAGAGCCTCCACAAGTTTAAGCAAAGCCTTAGGTTTGCGTGTGTATACACACAGAGTCACCCCACATGTCCCAATCAGTGGGTTGGATCCTGCCTGTCGTTGGCTCTGGCTTCACCTGCTGTTGGTCTTCCTTGCTTCTGGCCTACCAGTCCCAATGGGCACAAGCCACCACTGTGTGGGGTGAGCCTGATATTATGACTTAACTTCTGGTACAGTTCTCTTGCTATTGTTCAGTTAGGGTAGCCAGTAATCCATACTGGATGGAAGGGATATAACTGTTTTATGTGCATGACATAAGCCAGTTTTCAGAATGTCTTACCTTAAAATAATTATACAGTGGTACCTCGGGTTAAGTACTTAATTCATTCCGGAGGTCTGTTCTTAACCTGAAACTGTTCTTAACCTGAAGCACCACTTTAGCTGATGGAGCCTTCAACTGCTGCCGCGCCGCCAGAGCCCGATTTCTGTTCTCATTCTGAAGCAAAGTTCTTAACCTGAAGCACTATTTCTGGGTTAGCGGAGTCTGTAACCTGAAGCGTATGTAACCTGAAGCGTCTGTAACCCGACGTACCATTGTAATTAATTACACAAAACTTAAAATACACACCAAGATTTTCAATTAAAGTCAGGAATGAAAACAAGTTGACCTTGTTGTATGCAGTACAGTGTTTTTGTTTATTTTTCAGATAAAACATTACTTGAAGAGATTCACTCTCCATATGAGACTTTGCTGCTCCGAATGTTTTTGACATATCTCATCTATTTGTCCTTCCACATCTATCATAAGGAGTTTGAGTAAGTGGCTTGTCCATCAGCTAAGGTAGCACCGAACCTGAGAATAGTTTGCTGAAAAGTCACCAGTTTAAAATCTCAACCCAAGGCACCTCCAGGCTGTCAGTAGGTTGCTGGAGGGGTTCAAGTGTATATTGGATAATGAGAATTGTGCCATTAAAGTTGATTAAAGTGCTGTGTTGCCCTAGGTCAAAAAAATCCACTTATGAAAAATAGACTTCTAGAATTTTGGAAAGTGACAAGTAATTGCCTTGAAAAGTGTTGAATGAGCAAATGATTAATGGGAAGATGTACAAACACTCCACAAGCAAATCAGGATTAATGCTTGTCATGGAACTTCCCTGCAAAAGAATTGGAATGAATGTTCAATTCAGTTTTTCAAATGATTTATTTGATTCTTCCAACAGATAACATGTACACACAGAGGCACACAAAATAATGTGTCAGGGGTTCAGGGACAGAGGCACAGGTGAGGGAGGAGACAGAGAGCGAGGGGGAAGAATCCCAGGGCAGCGAGGAAGAGGATGACGATGACTTGAGGGATTCCATGAGTCTTTCAAGTGAATCGGAGGATTCCCAGAAGGGGGCGCCTGTGGTCAGGCCAAGGGGAGTCACAGGGGGGACTCGTCAGGAGCAGGGGACCAGCGGGGGAACCCAAAGTGGGAGCTGGGAGTCGGGACCGGCTTCTCCGCCAGAGCGCAGTGAAGGGGGTGGAGATTCCAGAGTGACAGGAGAAGCAGGTCCGAAAGCAGAGAGGGAGGGGAGATCGGAGCAAGACATCCTCCTGGAAGGGGAGGGGAGTAGTGCAGGGAGTAGTGTAACTGTCAAGAGGAAGGTTAGCGGTTGCGAACGCGCGCCAAGTTCAAATGTGGAGGCGCACGGAAGAACAGGGAGCCCGGAGGAGGAGCCAGGTCCCAAAGCACGCAGGAGGGGGGAAGAGCTGTCTGGGGATTCCGCGTCAGGGGAATCCAGGAGGGGCGAAACCCCAGGGGGGCAGGAAGACCCTGCGGAAAAGGAAGGAAAGGAAGAGGTGGAGCAGCACAGCCCTCTTAAACTGGTGCAGAGGAGGGACTGACTCAGAGGGGACTTCAGCGGTCTAAGCGTAACAGACGTGGGGCTGCGCGCCTCGGCTGTGGAGCGTACAATGAACTTCAATAAACATTTTTGTATATAAACTGGACTTGGCGTTGGTCTCTTGTGAGCTGGGACCTGAGGCAGCCCTGACATAATGTATATAATAAAGTAAAATGGGCACAAGGTTTGAAGCATAAAGACTCTTTTGAAACTGACTGGTATGGCTTTATTATATATGTTCTTAGAATGAAGACAAAGAACATTACGTATAAAACCTTTTGCTTAATGTAAACTGTTGATTGCCTTCTATATAAACGGTTGCACACGATAGGAACTTAGAACGTTGTTTGGATGTTCCTTCGGATGCAATGCCCAACTCCCATCTTCTGGATTAGGGAGGGATAGTTTCTAAAAAATTATTGTTTTTGGATCCATAAATAGTCAACATAGTTTTAAAAAAAACCCAAAACAAAAATAACCAAACCAATTAGCTGATGAAAAGCTGCAGCCCTACAACACATAACTCTAAAATGCAATCTCTTCTGAATTTCTGAAACCTGTTTCCTCCGCATATCGCAGTAGTGACTTCTATATCGAATTCCTGTTTTAACTCCAGCAATACGAGTCCCCGCCTCTTCAAGTGCTTCTGCAAGTTGATGGTCAAGAATATCTGTCCTAACGCCTGCCAAATAAAAGGTGGGCTATGCATTTTGGTTTGGTTTGGTTTCCTACATTTCCCCAGATTTCATTTACACACAGGTGTTTGGGCCTTTTTCATCATCTGGCTCTTCTCCCCCCCCTGCCCCCGTTTGCCTCTGCAGGCATCTTGTTCAGCGACCGACAACAAACAGTTTACGCAATCAATTACATTGACAAGTGTTGGGAGATATTCAGGGCCTTTTGTCGACCAAATCCCGTTGCTCCGTACGAACCAACCATGAAGATGAGGCACTTTCTCTGGATGCTGAAAGTAATCACCATCTCAAGGATTTATTTCGGGTCTTGTTAGCGACAGATGTTATCTGTCAGTGTTGGTTCATCTCAGGTTCTCATTTTTCCTGTCATCCATTCTCTGCATTTCCACATCAGTTTGTTATTTTGTTATTTTTTTTAAAAGCCCTCATGAAAAATTATCAATATTTTAGCACAAATTTCTCATACTATACAATTGCATAGAATTTTTTCAGTTTTTGTATGCAATGGCGGCCTAATATACACATTTTCACAAAGCATGTTTAACCTAATATTGGCATGTTTTCACAAATATATGCCTTCGTATTTACAGCTTATTGTAGCTTTTGCATTTTTAACACATTTTGGCCCATGTATCATTTGGGAGAACATGGACTAGGTAGCAGCACATGCCAAATTGAGAAATTTGGATAACACTAACCATTTTGTTGTTGTCGCTTCAATCTCCAGGATTTAAGACTCGTAAGCAAGCAGTTAACCGCTACCAAAATTGTGAATATTCTGGCCAAAGACAGCCCTTGCGTGCGTGATGGAGAGGACACTAACTTAGAACATGAGGTATATGTATTTCGGGAAAGTGTGGGGAAATATGGTCTGGGTGTAAATTTCTGCAGCTACACTGAAAAGAGCCAACCCACTTCAGGAGCTGGTTGGGCTTGGACTGTCCTTCGCCCAGAAGGAACTTTGTTTAAGAACAAAAGCTTTTGCTAGTTAATCAATATGATGAGTCATATAAGATTCTAACGTAGAGCTGAGCCACTCCAAGTGGGACTTTGGGCGAGTGAAATTAAACTGCCCCATTTGCTTTTTCCTGGCGTCTGTTCCATGATCCGGCCAGCAACAATTGCCTACCAGGCGTCATTCCCCCTTCTACCACAAAGATCCAGAAGCATGGTCCTCACTCTGATTTGGCGTCGTTATTGTTAAGTTGTGGGTGAACATATCAGATGTCACAGCGATTCTTCAAACAGCTCTTGTTTATTCACAGGCCAGAACAGAACTGAACTGAAGGGTTCAGTCAGCCTGCTTATATAGAGCTCCAGTACAATGTAACTGTAACAATTTTCTAAAACTATCCAACCACTGAACGTCACTTTGCATAACTATCTACAGTATCCCCCTGCTAGCCCAGGGTGAGAACTTCAGTACATAACAGTTATGATGCCATGTCATCATGTGGTGCTGCCATGATGAGGCAATCAGAGTGAGGGCTGTGCTTCCTGCCTTATCTCGAGAGCTTTGCAAGGAAACAACATACCTGTCAGCAACCAGATAGCCCATGGGTAGGCAAACTAAGGCCCAGGGGCCAGATCCGGCCCAATCGCCTTCTAAATCTGGCCAGCAGATGGTCCGGGAATCGGCGTGTTTTTACATGAGTAGAATGTGTCCTTTTATTTAAAATGCATCTCTGGGTTATTTGTGGGGCATAGGAATTCATTCATTCCCCCCCCCCAATATAGTCCGACCCCCCACAAGGTCTGAAGGACAGTGGACCGGTCCCCTGCTGAAAAAGTTTGCTGACCCCTGAGATAGCCGCTTTCACATCCTTGCCCCTAAAGCTGCCCTCACTGTATTTCACATCCGGCAAACAGTATTGCAGGATTGGGGGCCCATTTTGACACAAACTAGCCCCCCTCCCCAATTAATTGGTAGAACTGACAACATACAGCCTTTCTCAACCTGTGGGTCCCCAGATGTTGTTGAACTACAACTCTCATCACCCCTAGCTAGAAAGGCCAGAGCTCAGGGATGATGGGAGTTGTAGTCCAACAACATCTGGGGACCCACAGGTTGAGAACCACTGGACAACAAGCAATAACTCAGTGATGTGAGACCTCTTGAAGGTCCATCACTGGAACCCACAGTGAAGTAATCTCAGACTCCAGATTGGCTCCACCCATCCAGGCTTCTCATTGGACCCTCCTAGGTTGGAAAGGGCTATGAAGAATTCCTGGTCATACCGCATTCCTGAGCAACAATGATTGTCCTACATCTGGTGTGTTTTGGCGTGTTCCTCAGTGCTGACTCCTGGTTCGAACGCCTAACACAATTGCTGACCTGGCTCCTCTCTGACAGCTGCTTGCAGCTCAGCCGTTCCACAGGTCCCTAGTTAGGACCCCTCCAGGAATATTTTGCCACATGTTCTTGGTGGATTAGCGGTGGGTTTATTCCAATTTGGTTTGTTCTGCAGCGCTTCTCCAGTGCAGCCAAATTATTGCTGTCTGGAGGGGCTGTAGTGCAACAGAAGAAGGACAAAAATAAACCAGAACTTTTGTGGACTAAAAATTAAGTGGATTTCAGCAGGAAAGACATGCACTGGTTGGAAAAGAAGCAACATGTCCATCCCAAAACTTTCGCAAACGGTACTGAAAGTGGGCATGACTCGTTAATCATAAGAAATGTGCAATAAAAAGATGCCTGGAGGACCCTTTGATCTTGTCGATTAGCAGTGACTTGTTCTCTTCTTCCTTTGTTGTGCTACAGCTTGTTTTCCTTGAGTTTTTCGAAGCTCTGCTGGACTGTGCCCTGTTGTACGTCACCGATGAGATGCTGAAACAGCAAGCAGAAGAATCCAGTCGTTCAACAAGTTCCTTCAGAACAGATGAGTTCATAGACCCGGCTGCAGGGCCTCCTTTGGCTCAGGACTTGTCCTCTGGTCAGGTTAGTTCTCCGAGCGTAAACATTGACTCTCGCCGCTACAGGTAAGGGATGAGTTAAATGCAGCAGCAGCAGCAGCAGCAGCAGCAGCCTTTCACGAGGTTTGCTGGCCTCCCAGATTGAGTGTGGACACTTTCCGGAACGGAAGCCAGGCATTTCAAACAAACTTAAGATCTTCAAAGAGGGGGCAGGTTTGACAGGGTACATTGGCCCCTTACAACCGTCAGGAGCAACGCCTCAACACCTTCCACATCAGGAGGATTTGGGGCATCACATGGCCAGACAGAATTCCCAACAACGTGTTCTCTCAAGCCCTCATTCCCAGCAGATTTGCGCTCCTGTCTCAGCAACGTCTATGCCGGCTTGCTCATGTCCACAGAATGGAAGATGGTAGGATCCCCAGGGACGTGCTCTACAGGGAGCTGGCTTCTGGCACCAGGCCAATCGGCAGGTCTGCTCTGCATTACAAAGATGTCAGCAAACATGACACGAAGGCTGACAACGTCAACTCTGCCATGTGGGAATCCCTCGCGGACGACCACAGTGCCTGGAGACAGGCAATCAAGTCATGTATCCATAGCAGTGACCAGAGGAGGAACAACCACTGGGAAGACCGCAGAGAGAAGAAATGCCATGGTGCATCTGCAGCAACACAGCTGGACACCTTCACCTGCCCCAGCTGCAACAAAACATGTCTCTCCTGTATCGGTCTCTACAGCCACAGCAGGCGCTGCAGCCTTCCAACAGCTTGACCTCACCCCCAAGGCACATTATTCCATTGTCTCCCGAGACAGACGGAGACCAACAACAACAGGCCCCTTATGTGAATTCTACCACTCAACATCTTCTGGGAACGAAAAGGAGTTTAAGGCTGTATTCATGGACACAATCTTGTTTTGACTTCTCTGGGCCTTAGGGTTAGAAGTTGCTGGCAGCTCAGGGGTAGGGTTAACACTGAGCTAGATTGACCAGTGGTCTGCCTTTGGGGGTGAGGGGGCTTCCTATGTTCCTCTGGTGGTAAGACTCCTGGGGGCCAAAGCACTAGCAGTTCTGAGGAACTATGATATCAATAAACACCAAATGGCGCTGACCTGGAGAATGGGGGGCGGGGAAACTGGTCACACGAGGACAGTGCAAGTTTCCTCTGCCACAGAACACAAGGACTCATGGAATGAGCCCATTGTGGAGGCAAAGGACAGGCAACATCATAAGGGTCCTAATTTTTAAAAAGCATCTGTTAACTCAGTGATAGGACACAGGATTTTTTTTTTAGAATGTCACAGGTTCAGTTTTTAAAAAATCAGTTGACGGGAAATACTTCTGCCTGAAAACCTGGAAGCTCAGTTGGTAGAGCATGAGGCTCTTAACCTCAGGGTCGTGGGTTTGAGCCCCACGTTGGGCCAAAGATTCCTTCATTGCAGGGGGGTTGGACTAGATGACCCTCATGGTCCCAGCTCTGTAATTCTATTATACTTCTAGGCAATGCTGGGCTTGATGGACAAAGGCCACATCAGCACCATTCATTTAAAGCACATTTAAAGCTCATGGGTTCTCCTGGGAACTATGGTTCAACCCTCACAGAGCCACAGTTCACAGCACACTTCTCAAACTACAGTTGCCATAATTCTTTGGGGGAAGCCATGTGCTTTAAAAGTATGGTGTGGATGTGATCACGCTCAGAAATGAAGTTCTGGTACTGGATCTAGACACATCAAAGAAGCGTTTCAGTTAAACGCGTTGTAAACTTTGTATGAGAAATCGGGTTGGCAAAAATGGAGCTCCACAGCACCATCTGGTGCCACTGTGTTAAAAGAAGAAGAAGAAGAGGAGTTTGGATTTGATATCCCGCTTTATCACTACCCAAAGGAGTCTCAAAGCGGCTAGGATTCTCCTTTCCCTTCCTCCCCCACAACAAACACTCTGTGAGGTGAGTGGGGCTGAGAGACTTCAGAGAAGTGTGACTAGCCCAAGGTCACCCAGCAGCTGCATGTGGAGCAGCGGGGAAGCGAACCCGGTTCACCAGATTACGAGTCCACCGCTCTTAACCACTACACCACACTGGCTCTCTGCATAAACAACACATATAAAGCGCTTTTTCTTTGCCAGCGTGGCTGAGTCCTTGATCTAGACCTATGTGCTTGCATATCTGTAAAGCACAATACCTCTAACTGGAGTTCAGAGGGATGTTTTCTTTTGGGTGTGTGCAAGTGTCTTTTATCCCCCCCCCCATATAGCACCTCCAACTAACTACAGTATTGCTCTTATTTTATTCTATTCTTTTAAAATTATCAGTCCGTTCAAACCAGAAGTCTAAGCAGTGGCGAAACAAGCACTGAGACCACAGAAACCCTGCATGTCAAGGCTTCCACAAGCAAGATTGTGCATTTTGTGGATGTTGGCAAGGGAAAGAAGTCCGAGGTCAGTGGGGTGATGAAACATAATGGCTGTTTTGAGGTCCCAGGTCCAGGAAGGACTTGGAGAGATTCTTGCTTGAAATCGCGGAGAGCTGCTGTCTGACTTAGTACAAAGCCACTTTCTGTGTTCCCAGGAAAGGGCCTTTTCAGTGGTTGCCCCCCAACTCTGCAATTCTCTTCCCTGGAAGGCCCGCCTACATTCCTCTCTTTAGTTTCCCGAAAGATGATGAAGACAGTTATTTCGGAGGTTCTTGGGCATTGTGGCAGTTGAATTGCCCGTCATTCTCTACCACTGCTATCTGTTTATTATGTTGCTACCGCTGCTTGCTTTCTCGTAGGTTGTCTGATGTGATCACGTGATGGAAGCAGGGGATCACCAACCGTTTGGGGCCACTGCACACGTTTGGAACGCTGTGGGTGCCAGTCACAAAATGGCCGCCGGGGTTGCCTGGCATAACACAAAAATGGCTACCACACCAAAAGAGCAGAAAAAGAAACAGGGAGACAACATGGGTGTGGGCATACTCTCCTATTATACCCCCCTTTCAAGCTGGGGAGGCACTTATAGCAGACTTCACTGTACTCAGCCGTAGAGATAAGCACTCTGTATTATTATTTTTTGTTCAGAGTACAGTGGTACCTCGGGTTACATATGCTTCAGGTTACAGACTCTCCTAACCCATAAATATTACCTCGGGTTAAGAACTTTGCTTCAGGATGAGAACAGAAATCGTGCTCCGTCAGCGTGGCAGCAGCAGGAGGCCCCATTAGCTAAAGTGGTGCTTCGGGTTAAGAACAGTTTCAGGTTAAGAATGGACCTCTGGAACGAATTAAGTACTTAACCCGATGTACCACTGTAGATGCGAGGGCAAATGTTCAGACTTGGCGCCCAGTGAAATGTGGGCATGTGGAAGAGGCCATTTTCAATGTAGGCCAAGCTAGTGCAAACAGGTATTGAGCAGGAAGAATGGTGTAATGTGGATTTTTGAGGGGATATTTACCGAGGGTTTCTGTGGGTGGCATAGGAAGTTCTGGCAGTTAGGCCTGTACATTGGGGCATTGAGTTGGGGCATTGAGAGTTCCCAGTCAATGTTAGTTTACCTCTTATCCCCCCACTTGGGCACATGACCAAAGCATCTTCCAGACAGAATCTTGTGGGTATACCTGCATGACCTCATTGTGGCAGCACCTATACTTTGGAATTCCCTGCCTCTTGACATCAGGCAGAGGCACTTTTGCTGTAATCTTTTCAGTGCCGGCTTCAAACATTTTTCTTTAGGCAAGCCTATTCGGACAGGTAGAAGCTACATGCGTTTCATTTCTTTTTAGCTACTGTTGATTTTAAATCAACTTCTGGATATTTCTAAATACTTGGTTAACTTTTTAAGGCTAATTTTATTTAATGTTTTTGTAAACCGCTTAGAGGTTGTCTTTTTCTTTCTTTTTTTTTTACAGTCAAGCAGTGTTTCAAGTTTGTTAAACAAATAAATGGAAGAGTAAAGAACATTGACTCTGTTCTCTTGAGTCTTTGCCATGAACTGGTTTTTGAACAACCTTACCCGGACATATATTTATTTTTGCTTTATGTTTTATCTTAGTTATTGTACCAGATTTTGAAAATAACACCATCTCCTAACTCAACAACTCATTTATTTATTTTTTATTATCTTTTTTCTCATTACCACAGAAAGGAAAAGGCAAGAATGGAGGAAAAGAGGGCAAAGGATCCCGGCACGGTTCAAAATCTCCCAGTAAAGAAAAAAGTCTCTCTCCTCAGGGTGGGTCCTTGGAAATTCCGGTCCTTCCAATCTGAGCCTTGTCTTTTTTTGCTCTGAGGGAAAAACTAGCGTTGAAATTAATGTGGTTCAACTAGGCCTTTGACAGTTTAACATCCTGTAATGTTTTAAATGTGTTTGTGGGACAGGGGTTTGTGTGTGTGTTATTGGCTCATGTAGTTTTTTGTTTGTTCCTGTTGTTATTGCATTTTTTGTGTTTTCATCTTGAATCTTTATGTTGAGAACCGTGCCGAGTTCTATGGGTGATGAATAAACCAAACATTTTGGTGCAGTATCAACACCAGCGTTTAAAGTCAGTGCAGTTTAGAAGGGCTCAGGCCACCACAACCTTGATTCAAAAGGGCATCTGGTTGTAGTCGACAGAAACTCGCTCCTTCATCTCAAGAACTATAGTGCAAAATTTGGTTGTGGTAACTTAAGAGGTGTCCGAAATGCATAGAGAACAGGCAAAGAGACAAATGACTTTCCAAAATATATAGCAGATGCTTTTCTTCCTTTCAGCCATGAGTTTTAATGTCACCTTCTCTGCTATCGTGGAAGAGAAAGAAGAAAGTTCAGCTCCGTCACTATCAAGCGCGGAAGCAGGGCAAGAGTCAATTCTTAGTGCTCCCATGAAGGAATTAGCAGGTGAGAAAACTAGAACTTTTTAGATAGCAAGCTATCAGGTATGGATCATCTTTTTACCAACGTAAAGAATCATTTTTGCATTTTTGGAGTTGTTGTTATTAATATATGTATGTTTATGCTTGGTGTGCGCACACACACAATTTCATAACCCAGAATGCAGTTTCCAAAAAACTTTGTTAGGATTTATTTTGTTTGCTTTCATGTTTAACCATTGGGCAAGGTAAAGATGTTGCCCTTTTAGTATATCTCTTTGTTTTCCTATATTCTGGGTGCTTTGTTTCTTTACTCCTGGATTGTGTTGGCATCCACGATAAGTTGGCCTTTATTTATTTGAAAAGCATTCCCTTCTCTATCTAATCTTAACTAGAGGTGCTGCTTTTTGGAAGGGTCACCCTGATCTGCAGATTGTGCAGTATTTGAATACACATTCCTGTAAGATTTCCTGCTGTCACAAGAGGGCAGTAAAAGAACACCAGACCAGAACACAATGACTTGCACCTTCCTTGTTTGAAGGCTTTCACAAGGGGCCAAGTCCACTGTTGCTCCGACCCCACAGCTAAGTCCCAAACGAAGCGTGCTTGAATTCTGCAGTGGATTGCAAGCCATAAGCCCTAAGCCAATAATAGTATTGCACAGATGGGGAACCTTTGGCCCAGGGTCTAAATACAGCCCGCTATGCATCTCTGTCTGCCCCCCAGGACTCTCCCCGGGGGCATACACCTGCACCCTCCTTTGAAAAAAGAAAAGAAAATGTTACTGATTTTTCCAAATAGCAAAATAACAATCCCCACAACCAACATCCCACCACCATCCAAATGAAGGTTCCTTAGAAGAAAGCATTGTTGCAAAATGTCAGGTCTGTGCACCCATCTTGGGTGCTTTTGTCTGGTTCGAATGGATCCCTGGACTTTGATAATGCTGCTCGCTTGCCTGGGCGGAGGATGGAAAGGAACTATCTTACCGTGCAAAAGGTGAAATTCACATTTGTTGCTCAGCCCACTTTTAATTCTGGCCCTGCCTACTCCGCCTCCACCGCCCCACCTTCCTCCACCCCTGGATCCACATAGGATCTTCTGCATCCTAAGCATGTGGTCTGCTATGAAGCTATGATAGTCTTTCCCCTACAACAGGGGTTGGCCAAAGGGGATGCTCTGCTGCAGAAGCGCCCATCATCCTCAGCCAGCACAGCCAATAGCCAGGGATGATGGCAGTTGTAGGCATCACACATAACTGGAGGGTGTTTCGTTGGCTGTCCCCTGCCCTACAACTAAAACTCCATTTTATTTCCCATCTCCCCCACCCCGCCGTCTTGCAGATAACCTCGAAAGTGCAAAGAACGAGCAGAAGGACAAACTTGGTTTATGGATGAGCCAGATCTACATCTTTTTTGTCAACAAATTCTTTGCCGGCTACAAACACTTGGAAGTTGTGAAAGAAACCATTATAGACAACAGGATTCGGCACGCTGAATTCCTTGTACTGAAGAAGATCCAAGAAGCTGAAGAAGAAGCAAAGTGAGTTTTCAGCTTTTGCTTGTGGATCATGGTTTCTTAAAGGTAAAGGTATCCCTGACCATTAGGTCCAGTCGTGGCCGACTCTGGGGTTGCAGCGCTGCGCTCATCTCACTTTATTGACCGAGGGAGCCGGCGTACAGCTTCCGGGTCATGTGGCCAGCATGACTAAGCCGCTTCTGGCGAACCAGAGCAGCGCACGGAAACACCGTTTACCTTCCCACCGGAGTGGTACCTATTTATCTACTTGCACTTTGACGTGCTTTCGAACTGCTAGGTTGGCAGGAGCAGGGACCGAGCAACGGGAGCTCACCCCATCACGGGGATGCAAACCTCCGACCTTCTGATTGGCAAGCCCTAGGCTCTGTGGTTTAACCCACAGTGCCCCAAATTTGGCAGGAGCCTTGCCACATGCATTCATAGAATCATAGAGTTGGAAGGGACCATGAGGGTCATCTAGTCCAACCCCCTGCAATGAAGGAATCTCTTGCCTAATGTGGGGCTCAAACCAATAACCCTTATATTGAGTCACATGCTCTACCAACTGAGTTATCCCATCATAAAACAGGGTGCTTTGCTAGATGGCCCGGCTGTTTTCATTGGAGACATGCTGGCAACACCGGGCCTTCATTGCTATAGTCTGCCTTCTATTATGCCAGATTGAGATTACATGTTCACATGTAAGGCTAAACTGTGCCTTAGCATTAGAAGTAGCTGTAGTGAGCCTTGATTTTTAATGAAATATATCTATGGAGCTAAGGAAGCAACATGAACAGGGTACCTGGAAAAATGAGAAACTTGAGAGAAAGAACATACCTATCCATGCCACTTCCAAGTTTGAGCCTTAGGCTCAAAATGTTCAAATCAAGAAGACAATGGCAAGTACCACTGGTCATCTTTAGCAAAAGAGTTAATTTTACTTCCTTTGCTTAGGCTGATATGATTAAGCAAAGATCAAGATTTAATATATATTTTTAACTGCCGCTATATCTGTATTGTCTCTGTTATACCCAATTGCAATTCAATATATTCCTGTTGTGTTTTATGATTTTCCTGATATTGTAAGTGAGCTGGAACTGGTCTGTGACCGTAATAATAAAAATTAATTTAATTAATTAATTAAAAATGATTAAGCAAAGTTTGCATATGAACACGAAGCTGGCTGTTTCGATAAGGAATGGCTCCTTGATATCGTCCTGACATTTGTATGGGTGCCATTTATGGATTTGTTGTTTTGTGGCTCACATGTTCTGAATTGTGTTATGACTTTTTGGTTTAAGAGAATCTGACCCCCCAACTTCTCTGTCCCACCCCACTCTGGCCACAGGCTTAATGCTATGAGGGAGGCAGAAGAAGCCAGAAAGCTAGAAGAAGCTGCAGCAGAAAAAGCAGCTCAGGAGCTGGAAGAAAGTTTGTGCAGAGAGCTGGAGGAAGCATCGATACAGCTGCAGTCTTCGCCAAAGGAAGAATCCCCTGTTTCACCACAGGCGCCACCAAGCACCAAGACTACCGGAGGTGGGAAGAAGAAGAAAAAGGCATAAAAGGAGCAGCTGTACAATATCAGATTATTGTACGGAGGCATGCGGAATCCAAACATGCGGAATGCAATTCATGTTAGCTTTGGATTACAGGAGTAATAAATATCGGAGCAATAAAACTGAATAACTTTGTGAAGAAAACCACGCACGAATAATTTCAGATGCCGCCAGGTTTGTCAGAGAACTTTCAAACACAACCGCTATAAGCCTTTCTTTCATTTGGTTGCAAGACTGTGCAGTTCCATGAGACTATAAGTCAAGAGGACTTGCTTGCAAGTAGACAGGCATTGGATTGCAAGTATCCAAACTGCTGGTGTAATGCCCAGGTAGGGTCAGCTAGGAAAAAATATAAGAAATGGGATTTCCACTTATTTCCAACTGAAATGTGCAGGGGTGAGATCACACTTTAAATATCTCACACCCTTCCATTTTTTTAAAAAAAGTTCAACACTGATAAGATAGAGATGCTTCTTCTAGCTCTGATTCAAGAATGGGATGTTTACGATGCTTTCTGTAACTTCAGTTGAACCAATGTATATAGATTAAAATAAAATAAAGGGTATGTGTTGTTATTTCACACAACTTGGCTATCCTGAAGATGTGTTTCCATGTAAAAAAAAAAAGGTATAGAAGACAAGGACCTAGAGATAAGAGACAGAAGCAGGGCTTGCAGAATGGTAATCTGGGAAGAAACACCTTTGCAGCAAAACTTGTTCACTATCTGGCATTTCTGTTGCACAAACTGCTCCTTTGACGTAGGATCACAAAGCAGTAAGGGATCAGTAAAGTCATTAAATTCAAGGCAACTCCATTTTAAAAAAATGTATTTTTATTAAAGATTTTCTTAGTTTACAAAAGTATGTGCAATGTCTCTCTCCCCCCCACCCCCCAAGTAACATTTTTTACAGATCAGTTTCATTTGTTGAGACATTAGGAAGAAAAGAGGGAAAGAGGTGGAGGGGGGGAAAGGTGAGTGGGGGTGGTGTCAGGTGGTGATGTTTCTATTGTACTTAATATATGTGGGGTTTTGTGTCAGTGTTGCTTGTGCAGGTTCTCTGCTATTCATTTGTGTTCCTTTGGTGGTGAGAGAGGTTGGGGTTGGCCTAGGGTGTGGTTGTTCATTTGTGGTTGGCTGTGGTGATCTTTGTTTTCTTGTGTGAGTGGGGTGGGTGGGTGTTTTTGAATCAGATTAGCCATATTGATTTGTATGCTGTTGGTGGAATTTTGTCATTCTCTTGTTGGGCTGTGTATGTAATAAAGGGAAGCCATTACAGTGTGAAGGCGTCTTCTTCTGTTTGTCCCCCTGTCAGTTTCAGGTTATTGGTTAATTTTTCTGGTAAGGCTGTTTCCCATACTATTTTGTACCATTGGTCCATGCTTACTCCTGACAGGTCTCTCCAGTGTCTGTTTATGGTCATTTTGGCTGCTGAAAGTAGGTGTGTTATGAGTTATTTGTGGTGTAAATGGGCATTATTGTCTTGGAAGATGTTTAGTAGGGCCAATTCTGGGGTGATTTCTAATACTTGCTTAGTTATTTTACATATTTCTCGTATGGCTGTTGTCCAGAATAGTTGGATTTTGGGGCACTCCCACCACATGTGGAGGTATGTTCCTGTGGAGGTGCAGCCTCTCCAGCATTTTGGAGAGGTTCCTGGGTGTATTAGCGCTAGTTTCCTTGGTGTTATGTACCACCAAGTTTCAGAGTGAGTTCTTTTCTTTTCGTTGATATGGATTTAAAGGGGGGGTTAGACCACATTCTGGTCCATTGAGTGGGGTTAATCTCATAGCCTATGTCATCCTCCCATTGTTTTTTAATTGCGTCTAGGGGGTTCGTGGGATTTTGGAGTAGTCTTTTGTATACTGAGGATACCATCCCTTTACCGCGTCCCTTTGTTGTTAGGAGGAGGTTTTCGAAGGTTGTCAGGGACCTAGTTGCTGCTGATTTTGCTGCTGGATTGTTTAAGAGGGCAACTCCATTTTTGAGGGGAGCACAACTCAGTGGCGGATGACATGCTTTGAAGGCAGAAGGTCCCAGGTTCTGTCGGGTATCCCCCAGATCCTGGACAGAACCATCTGTCAGCATAGACAAGCTTAGAGTGCACCACATCATTCTTCCCTCCCCCAAGCCAAATGCAATGTATTCACCTGGCACCCCAAAAGGTTAGATTTTTGTTGTTGCTGCTGCTGCCGCCGCTTGCCTAGAACAATAGTAACTGGGGGCTGTCAAGTCCTTCATGGCTGGGGCCTGCCATTCAATTTAGCAGTTCAGGTCTGGTTTAAGGCATTGCAAAAACATCCTCATTCAGCAGAAAGCTCTGATCTAAACTGAAACATCTAAATCTGTTTACTGTGTTTCCTTTCCCCACATTAATCAGACAACAGATTTTAGTTCTTTAAAATGTTTTTAACAGAAGTGTTTTTAATGTATGAAATGTGAAAAACTTTTTCCCTCCCATGTGATGGTAAAAATGCATTGAGATTATGCATACTGCGATGAAACTTTGATGAATAATGATTTCCTCCCTTTTAAAATGGTTTTTTGTACTATATAGTTGATGCTTATTTAATTGATCAAGTGATTAACTTGAAGGATTGATCAATCAAGGTGTCTTTATCTGGGCAATAGTTCTACTAGCAATTTATGATGGCTTTGTTTCAAATGCAGACAATCTTTTTTTTCTTTTTCTTTTTGGAAGTTGCTGTGTGCAAAATGGGGTATGAATAGGCTGTCCTTAATTTCCTAATGCGGTCAGATAGCCACCTTCATGAAACAGAGGGATATCATTTCAACTTTACAAACATTTTGTCCCCCACAGAAGATGAATGATATAATTTTATAAACTTTTCTCCAGAGTCAAGAAAGAGGAAGAAAGTCCATTAAAATTGTAACAATGACTAATTTTATTTTTCCAGTAAAATATTCACATAACATTATCTGAGAAATGGAATGACACATGTTTAATTCAGACTAATTTTAATTCATTTGCACATAAATACTTTAAAATCTAAAAACCATATGATCAGAATGTAGAGTTTTAGTAGAAATTTGATTCTTACAAAGCAAGTATTGCTCTACTACTGTCATTATTCCAGTCAGTAATATGACTAATAACCTGTCACAGTAAACCAGAATTCTTTCAGGATATTTTAAAGCCGTCCTCAAAAGAGTTCGCCCCCAGCTGATCAATCCAAGAAGAATATATTGTTGAACTGTGTTGCACAAAGTTTCTTTACTTCTTCTGAGGGGGGAAAAAAGAGGAAATATTATTTTAAGACTTAGAAGTATGACACCAATTACAAGCTACAAATTGATCCTGTGTGGCTTTCCAGTGACGTGATCCATAAATGTTTTGTAGTCATTTATGGATCACGTTACTGGAAAGCCACGCAGGTTTGCATTTTCTCAAAGGTTCAGCTTAAATTTAAACATCACTGTTGACAGAATAAAATCTAAAAGCCTTCTGCATAACCCCTTCCTCTCCATGCACCATTGTAATGCAAGAAGTGTCCATGGGACTCTCAAGAGTCTCCCCCAGCACCCTGATACAAAAGCATCAATTCTTTGGCGATCAGCCTTCTTTATGGTCCAGCTCTCATTTCCATACATCACTACTGGGAAAATCATAGCTTTAACTATACAGACCTTTGTCGGCAAGGTGATGCCTCTGCTTTTTAAGATGCTTTCTAGCTTTGTCATTGCTTTTCTCCCAAGAAGCAGGCGTCTTTTAATTTCATTACTGCTGTCACCATCTGCAGTGATCATGGAGCCCAAGAAAGTAAAATCTCTCACTGCCTCCATTTCTTCCCCTTCTATTTGCCAGGAGGTGATAGTTGAAATAAATGAATACTCTACTCTTGTGTAGCTCTGCTGCAGTTTCCCTGTGTCAATTTTAAACTGTAAGCTCCTTGGGACAGAAAGCTGTCCCCTTATGTTTTGTAACATATAATGAGTTCTATATATAAGTAATGAAAGTGTTTTAATAACACTTAAAAGTGGTAAAACTAAAAAAATAAATAATTTTTTTTCTTACCATTCACTTCAATCAGGTTTGCATTTTTCTGATTCAAAATTACATACAGCTCCCGCTGATCAGATTTCTTGCCAACAATCCAGTAGTCACTCATTGCTTTCACTATGATTTCCTCATCATCATCAACCCTAAAAGGAAGAAGTTGGTATGTGCAAACCTCAAATAAGTAACAAAGGAATAAAACCAAGCAAAAGACAGTAACTAACATATAAAGCAGATTTTACACATCAGCAAGTAGACCGAGCTTTGGTTTATTGTTTTAGGTTTTTCTCAAGTCTTATAGATTAAACCAAAAAAAATTCCTTCCAGTAGCACCTTAAAGACCAACTAAGTTAGTTCTTGGTATGAGCTTTCGTGTGCATGCACACTTCTTCAGATACACAGTGTGTATCTGTGTGCATGCACACGAAAGCTCATACCAAGAACTAACTTAGTTGGTCTTTAAGGTGCTACTGGAAGGAATTTTTTTTGTTTTGACTATGGCAGACCAACACGGCTACCTATCTGTAACTTATAGATTCAGTGATTCTTATATCTGTGGTAGGATCTGTACCACACTGACACAGAATTCCTGGAGTATTTGCTAATAATAGGATCTAGCAGCTTCAATTACTGGGACTGCAAAAAACATTACACACAGCTTCACCTCCTAAGAGAAATTCGCCTGTTCAATTCTGCGGCACCACACAAATTCCGTCTAAAATTCTCCAGTTGTGATATGTATGTATGTATGCATGTATTTAGCCAATGTGGTCTATCTGACAATATGCTGAGCCTGGATCTGGGAGACCTCTGTTCAAATCTCACCTCACCATAAATCTACTAGTTTGCTTTTAGAAATTCCTTCACTCCCTGCCTCACTTTCCCTATCTGTAAAAAGAGGTAATAATATAATGATAGACTTTACAGGTGTTTTTTTCTTCTTCTGAGGATGAACAAGATAAGGAAACATTACTCACTCAGAATCTTTAGTAGTAGTAAGATTTATAACTATTATCATACTACGGAGATTTACACTCCTGGTGTATTACTTTGACTACAGCATTACGGCTAAGGAAGAAGAAAATTGCTTCCAAGTATGCACTGCCAGATCTAACTATGCAAACTGAATGATATTCAGGTTTTAACGAAGGCGGGGAAGAATGCTACGTCACCTGGTGAAGTCACTGTTGATATCACCAAGAATCTTCATCAAGTCAGGATGAACCGATGTGAGCGAGATATTGGGCGTTCTCCTCAAATGAATTGTACTTTTCTCCGCTAGGTTCATGTGATTGAAATAGATAAATTTAAATTGAGGCTCCTTCTCTGACCTAGGAAACAAAGAAGGAAATGGTCAAGTAAGCAAGAGGAAGGCTATTTTTGCAAAGAGAGTTGAACGTCTATCTAGAGTGGCTTACTACC